GAGTTGTACCCGAATGCCGTCTCCATACTCCGCCCGCGCTACTGTCCAGAGCAGCGCTTGCATCGACACCGAGGGCCCCAGTGAAACACCCACTCTGCGGTAGAGAACAACCAGGAGTGAGAGAGCGCAGACAATTGGCGCGTTTGGTTATGGCTAAGCGCCTCGCTGGCAGCGCGGGCGAAGTGTGGAGTCGGCACGCTGGCATCACTACCCTCTAGCCCTGGTTCCCGTGCACCTTTCACCGGAGAAATTGGCACGCTACTGTGATTACTCCTCACACACACTAAGGAACAGGATCCGCGGAGGAGAGGATACGGTTTGTCTTCAAGTCTTCCTGTAAGGCAGTAAGGGCGAGTTATACATAAAGGGTGAGATAGTTAGGAACTAGTGGTAGCTAGACAGGATCCAGGGCCAATATCTCAGCGCACTTTCTCGTTTCTGAGATCGTATGCCTGCTGTCTAACTCTGAAAAAAGACGCGAAATTGATGTTACACTCACCCTGATAACATACTGATGCGGCAGAGGGTAAATCTTGGTGACCTTGCTCGTATCAGTATCAATTCTACAGATACACGCGAGCGTATTTTCACCTCCAATGTTCATCGCACATGAACCGCAGATTCCTGAACAGTGAATTCAAGGCCTGGACTGAGCGCTTTTGTGATGAGAAGCCATGAATATCGCTTCCACTCATGCAAAGCGACTAAAACTGCCGCAACTAGAATTCAGTTGTCATAAAGGAGAACTAAAGCCCTCACATAAAATATGCCGCACTTGACCTTTATACGTAGTATTACCTATGGCTAAATCGAAATGGCTGCTCGGATTTCAGCCGAGAAAGTAGGAATACAGTTGAATATCATTGGATATACAGCTGTATCATGCCTCATTCGCTTCGAATCGTATAGGGAAATCAGAATATCAGTTTTAGACAGCAATATCCTTGGCGGTAGCAATAGGCTACAAGCCAGTGCAGGCATGATGTATGAATAATGGTGGTTCCTGTCTACGGCATCTCGTTGGCGGAATTAGACCTGGAGTGGTATAATAAACTCACTTTATATGAGAACTTAGGTACTATATCACAACAAGTTTCTGTGCCTAACAAAATCCTTCGTAAAGGCAGCGTTCAGACTTTGCGATGAGGCGTCGACACGCTGCAACTGCAGCAGCGCTCCATCCCCTAGACATGTGCGCAGCCGCAAACAGTAATCGACCGGCACATTCCACTAGGGCTCTGAGATAGTATAGCAGAACGGGAGAGTACCAGGTAGCAGGCAGTGCCTGCCCTGTTTTCCTGTTATCCTATACTCTCTCAAAACACAAGCGGCCGTCTCCGTTCGATTCCCATCGGCGGCTGAGTTCTGGCTCTAATCGCGAAGTCCTGCAGCCGCTATCGATACCAACTGCTATTGGTTTGACAACTCTGCGCAGCGCCCCCTTCCTCCTGTGTCTCTTCCTCCTAATCTAGGCTTCGCTTAAGGCAGACCCTGCTGCTTTGACACCATAATCTCAGCCACCTGGCCATCCTGCGCTCTAAGCCCGCCTTGCGGCTAGGAAAAGCTGACGCGGATAAGCACGCGGCCAAGTGGTCCTTCCCACTACTTTCAGCAGCCGAAAATGCAAGAAAAAGTGAAAATGGGGACATTCGTGCCAGCTGGTCACAATTGCGCACTTGGCGTGCTTGTCACATTCGAGGGAAATTTCACGGCGCGCAGGCGGCAGAATGTGGTGCTATCTTTCCATACCTTCACCGCACATGCTTCTTCTGAATGCGCTGAGACTGTGTCTTCGGTTCGTTTGATCTTAGGTATAAGAGCATCTGAGGCGATCTCAGACCGCAATCATCCAAGTCAATATCGTATTTCTGAAAAACATATTGCGGAAATATTGAAGCTATCGGGATTACGACATATGATAGCGTTCAAACTTCGGAAATAGACGCGCTGTAGACGCCCGCTATATGAATACTCGGTGGATCGCGCTCCGTTGCCTAATCAGACCCCAAATACTACGGACGGGGATAAGCCTTAGCCATAGACGAGTCGGTTTGCCTAACACGCTGCTAACCTGGAGAAATATAGAGGAATAGGCAGTGTCTGGTAGCATACTACTGGTGACCAGGTCCAAGACGCGCTTACCTTTACATATTCTCCCATATCTTACTGCAAGCAGCAACGACCGCGTTGATCGGATAACAGCATCCGGCTATGCCATAGCATTCCTCTCTTAGGCACTTGGAGCGCTGCTCAGCAATGTAGCCGTGCAGCGCAAGTGTTATGGCCCCGTGCGTTTTTCAGCGCGTCGCTTGGCGAGTTTGCAACGCTGCCTACAACCGTTTTCCTACAAATAGGACCACTTGTATTCAACTCACTTTGTCAGGTGCCGTCATAGTTAGGAGGGGGGCCTGCGTAGGAGTAGGGGATCCCAGCAGCGGAGCAACTGAGAATGCTCCTCGGCGCCCTCTATCCGCAATAGTAACCTCTTTCCCTTCTAGCCTCAGATGTAGCTTAATATGTATCTCAATAGGTCCGCTTCACCAACCAACCCATTATTAACTAGCTGATTGGCTTCACCCTGAACAGTCTGGCGTTGAAACAAGGTGCGAATGCCGCGCATACGGATCTTCTAGTAAGGCCTCTTCAGCCACTCCATACTTCCGTCTCAGCTGTGTCAGGGCTAGCCCATAAGAGTGCACACGATCAGAATTCGCACGACCCCATCTTGCTATATGCCCCTCCCATTGCAGAAGTCTCCTTTCCTATACAAACAACTTCAGGTGGGCTTCTGAAGGCAGTGGGCACCATGGCAGGGGGAGGGGGAGGGGGGCGGTTGTAGCCAGCTTCACTGGTGGAAGGGCTGCGATAGGACGTTTGGTCACGCCCCACTTTGCCCTTCTACCAATGACGCTGGCAACAATAGCCCTCCCCCAGCCATCGTGTTCACTGCCTTTAATTATTGGTGGCCATTATAAACTCAAAAACATGTCAATTTCGTCCGTTAATCAGACGGTTCTACCTGAGACCAGAGAGTACGAGCGACTCCTTTTCTCTCTATACTTCTGAAAGAAAAAAAATTTAGCACAACCTCCACCATACCCTCATTTCCGGTTTTGCACCCGGTTTGTCAGGACTGTAGCGATAAATTTCCAACGTTTTTATTCTCTTTCCAGTAGGCTTCGATGTTGATAGCGCGGCACAACTCGCATACATAAGTGCATGATTGCGAACAGTTGACAAGGTTCGTGCCAACATCCTGAAAAAGAATGAAATCCGAAAAATAACTGCAACGACTACAATCCCCGCTACCAATATAGAAGGGCCTTCCTCCTGTAATAAGAATCGCATGCCCATTTACCACTTACCCCTCTGCTCCGATAAGCCTAGTTGCAGCGCAAAAGTCACACTCTCACCATTTGAGAAACCTTGTAGTCATCAGATGTGACCATTGCGACATACCACGCAACATGACAGAAAACAACACGGAAAAAGCCAGAAAACACAGTGGAAGATCTTACTACCATGTTATAGCATGATCCCCAGACCTTGGGGAGTGTCAGAGGTGGGGAGCTGGGGTTGGCACGGCACCAACTTACTTCCCACCAATGGTTGTCGCTTGCTCGCATCAACTGATGGAGAACGGACAAGCGCCGCACAAAACCCAGCCCATTCCCTTCCATCTAAGAACGCACTACCGTCTGCAGCGAAAACGACTCTCGCACGCTCTTCGCAATCTGTTTACTGTTTCAGTTGCCGCTTCACAATATGAATTTTAAACTCATATTCAGCTAGGGCCAGGAAACCCTTCCGTGTGAATTATTAGAGTTCTTTTGAAATATTTATTCTAAAAAACAACTATAAATAACCGTACATTACTAACACCGAGACTGTAATACGCACGCTAAACCTACTGCACACAGGGAACATGACTGCAAGAAACTAATATTATGAACATTGCAGCAAATGATCCGTGGGACAACTGATCTTTTGCAGCAATGTTCATAATATTAGTTTCTTGCAGT